GAGGAGTGTTTACGGCGCTTGCAACTGCATAAGGTCATATAACAATATATTTATATACGTGTATTTATCTATGAGCGCGCGGGACACACCAAACATTTTCAGTTGGTAGGACATTTTGAACCACCAGGGATCTTTAACGTGCGCAACTTGCAGACGGGACCTCCGATATTTTTCGCCCTTGTACGAGAAGGCTAGCTGTAGATCTTTCCTACCATAAGATCAGGGGTGTGGCTGAACGACCTCAGTAAGAAGGGGCCAAGGAGAAGCAGTAGAAAGGCTGCAGAAAGAGTCAGGAGCCCAGGTGGAGGGTGCAAGTGAAGTGAAGGGGTGGGGGCAGAAAGTGGAGACGAAAGCAGACGACAGAACATTGTAAGAGGATAGGAAAGGATGTAAAATGGAGAAAAAAAATTAGAGAAAAAAATTGTCCGTCTCTGTCCAGATTTGAACCAGGGTCCTATTGAATGAGATGCCCCCGCGCGCGCGCGCGCGCGCGTGTGTGTGTGTGTGAGTGTGTGTGTGTGTGTGTGTGTGTGTGTGTGTGTGTGTGTGTGTGTGTGTGTGTGTGTGTGTGTGCGGCGCGCGTGTGTTATAAACTATAATAGATACATGGTACGTGCTCCTGGCGCTAGTGGACAAGGTCAGAACGTACATTGTCAAAATAACTTGTACCTAAAGGAGGTTATAAGGTCCTTGCTTGTAGCCTCTGGGCCTAGAGATAATGATGGTGTGAACCAAGCCCACACGTGTTTAATTCGCTATCAGTAGTTCTCTGTCCTCACGTGCTTTCTATTATCTCAAAGAGTGATTTGAAACACACCATAATATCTTACTTTGTATTGGCCCGTTGATAAGTTATCAACAGCTCACGTTGAGTGGGAGGGTAAAGCCTAACATGTAGGACTTACATTCAACGTAACAATTAAATATTATACTAGACGTTCGGATTAATCCTATTAAAGTGTACTGTGAAGAAGCAATCTTATGGAAAGGAGTAGGGGTATAATAATTTATGTCTGTGGAGATTTTTAAAAAAGGTTTATTTTATTTCATTTTATTTTTATGTTCTATTCTATTATTCTTTATTCTTTTTTTTTCTTCTGTCTTTTTTTTTTTTTTGGGGGGGGGGGA